AGCCACCGGGTACGCCAGGCAAGCCGCCACCTCGGACGCGCCTGACGTCAGGGTGCTGCTCGGCCCAGCTCTGGTGGGGGAGGCGGGCCAGGGGTGCGGGTGGAGCTGGCTGTCCCCGGCGGCCGGCCCTGGTGGCCGTCGGAGGGACAGAGCCTGGAAGCTCCTGCATTGCCACCGAAGCCCGCACAGAGGCCTGGTGACCCCTCTGATGCTGGGGTCCGTGCGGTAGGTGTGGGTGACACGCAGGTGTGAGAACGGCTCCCTGCTTGACAGGGCCCGGGGAGCTTCCAGCCGTGTGGCAGGCCCGGCGGGTGTCTCTCTGACCACCGTGACGCGGTCTCACCCCCTTTTGCATGGACACTCCAGCACCCCACTGAGAATTCTGTAATCTGTGGAGGCATCGTTTGCCCCTTGAGATGGCTTTGGGCACCAACGTGAGCTTGAGAGTTACTGTTCATGTCCCTGTGAGTGGGCCTTTACCTGCGCAGGAAGACAGTTAAACCCACGCCGTTTCCGGAATCCTTATTGCGCGCCCACCATTGCCCAGACATGTAGCATCCCTTCTGAAACGGCTTGATAAGAATTTTACAAACTAGTGGAAGTGATGAGAGTATGGGCTGAAACTGCTATGACAAAAATATAGTTAGTGGGACGCTGAAGCTTAGCCTGTCGTTGCATGTCTTTAGAGCATAGAAAATGTAGTGGTTTTAGCCACTTTCATAATTTTTTAACTAGAGGAAATGTAGGGTGATTTTACTAACATCATATAGATGTACTTTTGATTATTGTTTGACTGTTTATGAGGTTGTAGAGCCTGCAGTTGGAGGGGATTTAATGTTTGAAACTTTTTGCCTTAGATCTTTGTTTTTTTCTCTTTTGATGCATTTCTCCCTGGAGTGATGGAGAAGTAGGAGTGTGTTGCTGATTAAGATGTGTTGTGTACTGAGCACCCCCGCTGCCGGAAGGGGGAGCACCCCCTTGTCCATTGTGGAGTAGAGGGGGTGACCCCCAGCCGCGGGGCACGGCACCCTGCATTTCCTGCTGTGGCCACGAGGGGCCGCCCCCGTTTGAAAAACAAGGAGGGTCCCCCCAGCTCTCCATCGGGGACCCTGAAATGAGCTGGCCTCCCTGGGAGATGCACACTTCACAGCGGGGCGTCCTGCAGTCCAGGAGGGAGTCTGGGCCCTGGGGGGGATGGACGGGGTGGGAGCAGGCCCGGCCAACAGAGGACACCTGCAAGGGGTGAGCCTCCCCTCGCAGGGGGTGTGCAAGTCCACCAGGGGACTCCTGCAGGAGTGGGGCCACGGGGCCTGACTCCCCAAGGAGGAGTGCGGGCGGTGGGGTTGGGCAGGGAAAGTGTGACAGCGCCCCGTAAGAGGGGCGAGGGTGGCCCGGCCGGGTGACCGCGCCCAGGGTCAGGGAGGGACACTGCCTGCCTGGTGAAACCTAAGCCGGGCCTGGCCCTGTGGCCCGCGCTCTTGTTTTTCCAGCGGCTTCCGACCGCAGCCAGATTCCTCCGGGGCGGCCATCTCCAGACGCAGACCGCGGCCAAGGCCTGGCAAGGCACTTCCCTCCCCTGTCCCCCGCCCCCGGCCCTCATAGGCACCTCCCCCACCCCATCAGGGCCGGGTGGGGGGCCCGGGTGCACGGGGCGACCCCTGCCAAGCCCCCAGCTCCCGGACTCTGGGAAGTGGGCATAGCCACAGAACTGGGCCTCCCAGAGGGCTGCTGGCAGTACCCCAGAAAGCTGCCTTTGTTCCCCCGACAACAGGGGGCCAGGTGACACGTGGCAAAGTCAGGGGTCCCTAAAATGTCCCAAGCTCAAGGTTTTCTGGACATTTCGAGCCTACCTTGTCAAACTCCTGCCCACCCGTCTAAGCCCGTGTCAGAATGCCCCTCCGCCCTCTCGGGAAGCCTCCGCCCAGCTCCCCCAGCCCCTCTCGGCCCTCACCCTGCTGACCGGAGCAGGCTGAGGTGACGCGCTGGTTGTTGGTGGGGCTGTGTGTGCGTGACCAAGCACACAGCGTGGGCCCCAGGGCTCATGCATCCTCGCAACCATCACGTGGGTACACGCGTGCACGTGTGTGTCATGCTTGGTGCTGCGACAGGTGGCCCGGGCAGCCCCGATGCCGTGGTGACACCTTTGCAGGCCAGGAGTGCGGCTGGAGCCGGCCCCTTACCATGCACTGCAGTCAGAGTGGGGTACCCTCCAGGGCGTGTGTGTGGGCAGCCTGGATGCCACCCCCACTCGCTCCCCGCGACCTTCTCTGCCATGCTGGCCCCAGCTGTGAGCTCCAGCAGGCGAGCGGGCGCGGCTGAGGCCGGGGAGGCCCCGCCAGGCAGCCAGCCTGGGGACATACCTGAGGTTTGGCAGTGTGGGGCGGCCGGGGGCTGAGTCAGCAGCCGGGGCACTGGGAGGTGCCTGGAAACCTGGCTGGGACCCCAAGCCCCCAGCCCTGAGCCCCAGCCCTCGCTAAGGTCCTCACTCCACCCCCGGGGGCCAGAAGGTGTTGTGTGTGGCCAGCTGTGGTGTGCACACTGGGCTGCCGCGTGGGAGGCCATGGGGTGCTGGACGGAGTTGGTCTTGACCTCAGCCCTGGGGGGCGGGCGTGAGGGCGTCCCTGTGTAGGAGGGGGGCTCACAGGTGTACTGCATGGGCCGGAAGGTGGCAGCGCGGCGTGGGAAATAGTGTGTGGAGGCCCCCGGGGTCATGGACGGGGCTGGCGGTGTCGTGATGACAGGCATGGCCGGGTCAGGGACACAGCTCTGCATTTGCCTCCCCATATTTTGGCAGGGGGTGCGTGCCCTCACTGCTGCCTGCCTGGGACCCCATCTCCCACCTCTCCGCAGCGGGCTCTGTGGGCAGCTTCGGGCCGTGCCAGGCCGGCTGCAGGATGAGCAAGGCAGTCGGGGGGGCCAGGCCAGGTTCACGAGGCCGGCTGAGACGCCAGGGCCGCGCAGCCAGGACACGGGAGGCGGCCAAGGGGCCCGGGCGGGAAGGAGCAGACCCCATTTCCACGAAAGCCACACTTTCCAAGGAACGGAATCCATCTGGGCCGTGGCGTAGGAGGTGGGGTGTGTGTGTGGGGTCGTTAGTGAGGGGGAACCCTGTAACCCTCTGGGTGCCTCCTGGGGCTCCCAACACCCCGGGAGTTCCCAGGGCCCACTCACCTGCCCCGCCTGGCTGCCCACTTGCGACATTCCTACGCCTTGGCCCATGTCCCCGCCATGTGGTGCCACCTGGTGTCCCCGCCACGTGGCGTGTGCTGCCACCCTGATGTCCCCAGTTGCAGCCCTAGCATTGGGAAGGCAGCGTCATTGCCCCTGAGCACGTGTTTGTGGGGTCCCCCCAAGGGGAGTCTGCAAACATCAGGTGCCCTTGCAATGGGGAGGGGGGAGGAAGCTGTGTATGCAGTTGGCGCTCAGCATGTGCGCCTCTGGCCTCTTCCCCGCTTCCTTGGGCTCTGCAGCTTTAAGAGTGGCTCGCTGGAGGCGGCTTTTTCCCCTTGCTCTGGGATAGCCTGGTCCCCAAGGTGCTGTAAGCCGTTTAAGATCCCCCTAATTCTAAAATTATAAACTCTTGAAGCTGTGGGCAGGCCCCGGGGCCTCCTGTGCCCTCAGCTGACCCGAGGGTGGCTGGGGGAGGTCCCGTGAGGTCCCCTGGCTCCCCGCATCGCGTCCAGGGGCGGACAATGCGTTTTCCAGGAGGCGCACAGAGTCAGGGGGCGGGGTGCTGGGGCCGTGCTGCAGGAGAGAGGTGGCTGGGAAGTAAGGCCACCCCTTCCCTTCTGCTGTGCCCTCAGCTTGCCCATCTGGAACCTGGGGGCAGACGCTGCCCGGGTTGTCGGGCAGGTAAGAGTTGGGGTTCAGGGAGGCTTCCCCCATCCCGCTGGCTGCCATCCCCAGCTTGTTTCTGGTCCAGCCTTGGGAGGGCTTTGGGGACGTCCACCCCGCAGGCCCCCTGCACGAGGGGGGACCCCACTCCCACCCTGGGCTGGGCTGGGCAGGCAGGCGGCCGCCCCAGGGTTGGCCTGGCGGTGGCTGAAGCCGCGACATTTCTCAGTGAAAGGTATTCGGCGGGGAAGCAGGACACCTCATCAGCCTGCGCCTCCTCCAGCCGGAGGGCACTGACGGGGCCCCAGGGGAGGAGGGGGTTCCAGCACAGGGCATATATGGGGCTCACCCCCTGCCCAGATGGGCTCCCATTGGTTCCACACCTGGAGCGGGTGCGAAGTGGGGACCCTGGCCTCAGGCTGTGGGGTCAGGCTCAGGCGTGGGCAGGACCCGGGGCATGGCTACTGTGGCCTGTCTGCCCACCTCCCACCCCCCACACCGAGTTCCCTGCCTTGCATTTGGCCCGGGCCAGCCGGGCAGCAGGCCAGCTGGAGCCGGGAGCCGGCAGCTGTTCCAGGCCCGGGAGCGGGAGCAGTCGCTACCGTGCTCAGCGGGCCGGGCTGCCCCACAAGAGTGTCTGCACGTCGGTACCCGGGCACGGACAGGAAGACCACACTGCTTCCTGCTCCGGGTTGTACCCGTGCCCCCCAGGGGCCCTGTGCCCTCCTCCAGTCCAGCAGGCCGAGTGGGAAATGAATGCAGGATTTTTGTTTTTATGATTTATTTTTATTGGAAAGGCAGATTTACAGAGAGGAAGAGAGACAGAGAAAGATCTTGTATCCCCAACGAGGCCCCCACCCCATAACCCCCACCCCGTGGAGAGGGGGGGTCTGAGCACCAAATGTACCAGCCCCAGGGTGGGGGAACCCCAGAAGCCCTTCCCTGGCTATCACAGGACCCAGCCTGAATGCCCCCCAAAACCAGCTGGTCTCTTGGGGCTTTGCTTCAATAAATAACCCCAAAGAGCGAGGCGTGGGGTGGGGGGTGGGCTGGGGACAGCTACAGGCAGCTCAGGGCGCTCCTGGGGTCCGAGGGCACACGGGCGTCCAGCTGGCCTCATCCCGGGGAGCGCGCCCGGGGACTTGGGGGAGGCCCGGAGCCAGGGGTCACTGCCGGGCCCTGCCCCTGCGCGAGCGGCGGAGCGGCCCCAGGGTTCGAGCCTGCGCCCGCCCCGCCTGGCCCATCTCCCGGCGGAGGTCTTGGAGCACGGCCGCCGGCGACTCCAGCAGCCTCTGGAAGAGGTTGAGACGGCCGGCGGCGGGTTCCTGGCACTCGAAGGTGACCGCGGTGCCTGCGTCGGCTTTCATCTCCCGGGAGACGCCGTCGGAGGAGCCGTCGAAGCAGCGGCCGATGGCGATCTCCTTGGCTAGGCGCGGGCTCTGGTCGCTGACTGTGTAGACGCCGTAGTTGTGGCCCAGCGGGTCGAGCGGAGCCAGCATGGCAAAGGTGGCCGGGTCGTCGGTGGGCGCCAGGGGAGGGTGCCGGGCCAGGTAGTCCTTGAGCAGCCCGTTGACGGCCACCCGGTGGCAGCTGCCCTGCGGCATGACGGTCACCAGGGTCCTGTCCGCCTGCCGCTGGTCGGACAGCATCCCGCCGCACTTGAACTCCACGCAGGCGGCCGAGGTGCCGGGGCGCTGCGGGTCGCGCACGCTGCGTGCGTCGCGCAGCCCGTAGAGCTGGCCCCGCGTGCGCGGGTGGCTGCCGCCGGCGTTGTGCGAGCGCACGGTGAGCTCCTGGGGCCCCCGGATCTGCACCTTGAGGAAGCAGGCCCGGAACTCCTGCGGGTTGGGCCACCAGGCCAGCAGGTCGTCGGTCCAGGAGGCGGGCGCGCCCTCGCGGAAGGGGACCACGTTGTATTCGTACCTGTCGGTCTCGACGCGCGAGAAGCGGAAGTGGCCGGCGGTCACCGGCGCGTCCTGGCACTGCCGCAGGCTGCGCCACGGGTACACGGGGCCGTTGGCCTCGGACGCCCGGCCCGGCCTGGGTTTGGCGAGGTTGATGCGGAAGCCGTTGCGTTTGAAGGCGGGGTCGTCGTGGTCCGTGCGCCGGTAGCCCAGCCTGTCCAGATAGGGCTGCGCCACGCCCACGGTGCCGGGCACCGGCCGGGGCCGCGACGGGGCGGCCTCCAGCTCCTCGCCGCCCAGCGTGGCGGTCAGCAGCGCCGTGTAGGCGTCGGGCTGCTCGGCGTCGCAGAAGGCGGGCAGGCAGGCGCCGTTGGGGCCCGTGACGGCGCTGTCGAAGCGGCCCCAGGTGCGCGGGTTGGCCGAGAAGCCGGGCGCCGGCTCCAGGTTCACCAGCGTCACCACGACGCCCTCCACCTGCTCGCTGGGCGCGAACTTGTCGCTGAGGTAGGCGCGCACCTTGACGAAGCAGCGCCGGCGCTCCGGCACGTCCAGGTTGAACAGACGCCGTTCCCGGATCTCCGTGTTGCCCACGAGGAACACGCGCTCCTCGCGGCGCGCGCGCGCGGAACCGCCCGAGGCCCCCTCGAGCCGGAAGCCGCCCTCCTCCTCCCACAGCCCGGTCCCCGGGTTCAGCGACCACAGACGCAGGGCCTCCCTGTGTCCGGCCATGCGGATGTGCTCGGCGGCCACGCGCACGGCCACGGGCCCCGCGTGCAGCTGCTCGGCCGAGCCCGGCGCCCGCAGGTCCACGGAGAACATGCCGTAGGTGCGCAGCGGCGCCAGCTCGCCGTCCGCGTCCGCGAAGCGCAGGTCGCTGGGGGCCACGTCGGCAGAGGCGAGGTCTCGCGGGTCCACGAAGGTCACGCGGGCCTCCACGGGCCCCGTGTAGGGCCGCCCGTCGGCGTGGCGGAAGCCCCCCGGCGGCAGGACCAGCTCGCCCAGGGTGCCCTCCTCGGCCAGCTCCCCCAGGGGGATGGCGTCCCCCCGGCTGGCCTCCACGAGAACCGGAGCTTTCTTGCGCATGGCCTTGACCTCGTGGTACACGCCGGCCCCCCGGGGGTCAAAGGGCAGGACCCGAACAGCATCCACGAACTCGCCGCTGGGGTCCACAAACGTCACCACCAGGCGCTCGGGCGAGGGGGGCACCTCGATGGTGAAGTCCCCCCGGTAGGAGGTGAAGCCCACCGGCTCCGGGCCCACGAGGATCCTGGCGAAATGCAGAGGCTCCCCGGAGTCGGCGGCCACCACGCGGCCCCGCACCAGCCCCCGGGGCAGCGGGCACTTGCGGCAGCCACACTCGGCCACCACCTTCACGGGCAGCGCGCGGGCCCCGCACTGCACCTGCCGCTTCTCCAGGCGCTGCACGGCGCAGCAGCGGGAGGGACTGTCCCCGCACCGGGCGCCCGAGCCCCCCGCGCCGGGGCAGTGCGTGTCGGGGCAGCGGCCCACGTTCAGGTAGGCGGGGCCCTGGCCCGGCTGGGCGCAGTCCTCCGGGAGCTTGATGAGGTGTTCCAGGGGCTGGGGGTCGCAGGCTGGTTGGCCCGGGGCTGGTGTGGGGGGGCAGGCAGAGAAGAGGACAGCCAGGTCAGCGCAAGGAGCAGAGTTTGGTCTGGGGTCAGGGTCTACCTACAGAAGGGCTGGGATCGCGGTCCCCCTGGCTCACCCAGCACGGTGAGCCGGGCGGTGGCTGAGCGCACGGCCCCGGCCTCGTTCCAGGCCTTGCAGTGGTAGATGCCCGCCTGCTCCGGGCGCAGCCCCCGCAGCTCCAGGTGCGCCCCGTACCTGTGCTGTTGCCGCTCCAGCAGGGTCCCGTTGTGGAACCTGGCGAGGGGCGTGGGAGTGAAGAGCGGGGCCGGTCTGGGCCTCCTCCCGTACAGCCACTTGGCCAACCACCTACCCCATCACAATGTCCCAGGCTGGGCTGCAGCCGGGGGAGGGCAGGCCCGGGGCGCTGAGCCCACTCACCACGAGTATTTCTTGGGTGTAGGGGTTCCGGAAGCTTTGCAACAAAAGGTGACATTCTGGCCGGCCTCTCGCACGCGGGATTCGGGGTGCACCACCAAGTAGGGCTTCTCTGGGGGTGCCAGGGTGAGCAGGGTCACAGCCCTGTCTTCCCCACACACACCCCCTCTCTGCTCAGTCATTTCTTACGTGCCCTGCGCGTGCCCCACTGATGGCGCCATATTGTATTTCTTCTCCCCAGTCTCACCCTCTGTGCCCCCGGAGCGCCATGGCACCCGGGACCCCCTCCCCCAGTTCCCTACCCAACTCCTGCAGGACGATGGTGACCACAGCCGAGATGGAGCTGTTGGCCCGGGCCTGGGCAGTGCCTGCTGAGTAGCCATCCACCTGGGCTGAGATGTTGGTCCCATTACAGACCCCCGGCAGCTGGAAGGCTCCGTGGGCGTCGCTGGTCACCATGACGTCCCGCTGACCCCACAGGGAGACCCTGGCTCCCGGCAGCGGCCGGCCGGCCGGGGTGACCACGGAGCCTAGGAGCGTGTGGTTGGAGCACCCACAGCCATCCGGGCCGCACCCTGAGGGGAGACAAGGAGGCCTTGCTTAGGGCTCAGCAAACACTTGCCCAAGCTGTGCCCTTCGGAGGCCGAGGGGTGAACCCCTCGTGGAGGAGCTGCACGGGTGGGCAGGGAGGTGACGGGCCTGAGCGGTGGGAAAGATGTGTTGGAGGGGGAGGGGGCAGCTGGGAGCCAGAAGGTGAGAAACCAGGCCAGCAGGGGTTCAGGGGCCCCTGTGTGCACCGGGCTGGGGGCCGGGCCAGACCAACTCCCTCCCCTCTCAATCCTGCGGTTTGTGCACAACACGGAAAATTCCACTGGCAATTTGCAGGCAGAGGCGCCAGGCAGAGCCAGGCAGGACGGGGTGGGGACCCCTCATTGGCGCACCCCCACCCCTGTGGCAGGCCCCGTGCGCTCCTGCAGGCGGGCACAGCGTCCAGACCCCAACGGAATTTCCAGTCGCCTCCTGGCCGGCCTGGTGTCTGGTCCGCGGGAGGGCCTGAACGACGTCTGCCAGGGTGTGAGCCAACGTGTCTGCGTGGGCGTCGGTGGGAGGAGGGGAGGGACCCGGGCCAGGGCTGCGAAGGCCACAGGCGTGTGCGCCCTTCCGTTGTGGCTCCGGGCATAGCCCCGGCTGCTTGCGCACGGCCCCCATGGCAGCCCCGTGTCCCCGAATCCCCACCTACCTGGGCACGGAGGCCGCTCGCACTTCTGCACTTCCTGGGGACCCCCCGGGCAGGCCTCGCCCGCGGGACTCGGGCAGCTGCGGTGGCGCACACGACGACCAGACCCGCAGCTCCCGGAGCAGGGGCCCCACGGACCCCACGCGGCCTCTGCAGATGGCAGGGGACGCCATCAGGCACCTGTCCTCCCGGCGACACCCCATCCGGACAATGAGGGAGGAGGGGGCCCCATGGACCCCGCCTCCAGCACGCAGGTGCCCCCAGGGCACGCCCTCTACCTGCTGCCCGCCCCCTCGAGGTTCACCTATCAACCCAATACTCCCCGGCCCTGGGTTCCAGGTCAGCTCCCAGCCATCTGTCCCCTTCCTGCGGGGCGCACCTGAGCGAGGCCTTTCCTTCCTCTCACCTGATCCCCCAGGAGTCTGCCTGTTTGCCCCCCACCCGCCACTGGACCACTCCCCACCCCAACCCTCCGCCGTCCAGCGCGCCCTCACCTAGCGGGCAGCGGAAGCGCACGTGGTAGTTGGAGCAGCGGCGGCCCCGGGGCTGCTCGCGGTTGAGACACCAGAAGCCGCGCGCGGGGTTCAGGTGCACGCGCTCGCCCACGGCCGCGGGCAAGGCCCACTCGGTGGTGCGCGCCTCCAGCGCCAGCGGCCGCGGGCACACACGCGCTGGCCCGTAGTAGAAGCGGATGGCGGCCAGGCTCTCGAAGTCACCGTCGCCTCCAGGGTGGTCCACGTTGAACCAAGACGTCCATTCGCTGGCCTCTGCGGGCGCCACAGGCGCTGGGACCCAGACCACCGCCGCGGGCAGCCAGGACGGGCCCAGCCCCGCTGGCCAGGGCTGCGTCCCTGGTGCTGCCGACCCACCAGCCGCCCAGCCCCTTCCCGGGAATGCCATGACCCTCAATCAGCATGGCCCGTGTCCCCCCCGGCCACACTCACCTCCCCAGTCCTCCAGGGTGGGCGAGGGCTGGCCAGGGAGCACCTTGCGCCCCTGCAGGCCCCACGCAGTCCCAGGGGGCTCCTCGGTGGAGCTGGCGGCTTTGGAACGGGGAGGAATGTGTGTGTTTGGGGGTGTGCGCATGTGCAAGCTGTCAGCGGGACCTCCTGTTCGGTCATTTTACAGTGAGAAGAGCCGAGGCTCTGGGGGCAGGGGCAGGTCAGAACTGAGCTGAGCTCGGGATGGCATTGCGGCTCCTCCTCCAGGAAGCCTTCCTTCCAGCTCTGCCCAGGCTCCTGCTTCCCCCAAGCCAGGGGTGGGCTCCACACTGCTCCCCTCGGCCAGGGCTCCCCCTTTCTGTGCCCAGTGGCTGCATCAGCACCCCGCCATGTGGTCTTAATCTATATCTCCCCCTCTTCCCTACAGCGCCCAAAGCTGCCAGTGAAAAATCCTGGCATTTTCGCCTCGTTTTTTTGTCAACTGGGAACTGTCCAAGGACTGCTGGAGCCTCAGTCTCCTGGTCTGAGAAGTGGGCGCATCACCATTCTCCCCTAGAGCTACCGTTCTGTCCCCCAGGGGCCGTGCTGGCAGGTGAGAGACCCGAAGGCTGGGAGGAATCTAAGGCTCCCTGGACCCCTATTCTCTCCTCTGAACGAGGTCCCCTTTGCACCCCAGGTGGGGCTGGAGCGTCCTTGTCCACCCACCCCAAGGGCGATGCGGACCCGGGAGGCGCCAGGCTCTCACCTCGGGCACCTGGCAGGTGCGCGGCGGCGGCCACGCCGAGCCACAGCAGGGCCAGCAGACGCGCCATAGCGGGATCCGAGCGTCCGAGGCAGGGAGGGAGGGAATGGAGCAGCGCGCTCGCTCGCGTCGGGCTCTGGCGGATCTGGTGGCCACCGGGCGTGCGTGTGTGTATGTGTGTGCTGGGGGGGATTGACAGCGAAGGCGGGTGCGCCGCAGGCCCCGCCCCTGGAGCCACCCTCCTGGGCCCCCCTCTGGAGCGCCCGCCCTCCGGCTGTGCCCACGTGCGCTGGAGCCACGCTGCACGGTGGCCACCCGCATCCCTCCCCCAGGCCCCCTGACTGTCTGGCGCACGCAGCAGGCGGGAGGCGCGGCCGAGGTGTGGGTGTGTTTATTGTCGCGGGTTCCCCGCGGAGTGGGCAGGGGTGTGCATGTGTGGGGGGCGGTCACAGCTCCGCCACGCAGTCGGTGCCCGCGTAGGCCGGCAGGCGCAGCGCGAACTTGCGGCACACGTCCTCGGGCACGAACCTGCCCGCCACGAAGTGGTGGCGCCCGGTGAAGTGGCGGGCGCAGCGCTTGGGCGCAGCCAGTGAGACCAGGACGTCCGGCTGCAGCGCGTCCTCCCCGCCGCCCGTCTCCGCGTCCCAGCCTGAGGGAGGTGGAGGAGGGCGGTGGGCGGCCCTGCCCCCAGCCCCGCTCCTGCCGGGGAACCCCTTCCCACCCCTCTGCTGGGAGGGGTGTCCCTCCTGCACCTCAGCCTGCGCCCTCCCTCCCCTAGGCGCCCCGCCTCGGCCTCCCTCGTTCCCACCTGCCGCCCGTTGCCAATCGGAATCTCCGTCTTCGACAGGACGCCGGACCCCCTAACTTGCACAGCACGCCCCCCTCGGACTCCATTCCCACCTGGCTCCTTCACCTGTGCCTCTGCCCTGCCTGGCACAGGGCACACCACTGCCCCCTTGGTGGGCCCCATCCCATCACCTCCCCAGCCAGCCTGCACCTGCCTCCTGACACCAGTGAGCGCGCGCTACCGGGACGCCTCCTCCAACCGCCCACCTGAGCCCCCATGGGGCAGCCCCTGCGATGGCCCCACGAGCCGCCGCGGGAGCACCCTCCCCAGGGCCCAGCTGCCACCCCCGCGGAGGAGCAGGCAGAGCTGGCCACGGTGGCTGTTTGTTCCGTCTGTCTGCGTGTCCCCTAATGGTTCCAGCAGGCGCGGGGCAGCGGCGGCGGCCAGGGCGGGCGCGGCCTGGGCTGTGAGCTCACGTCTGCCCGGGCGGGAGAGCAGGGCCAGGGGGTGGGCAGCGGGCACTGGAGCTGGGCATGGGGCGGGCCCCCCGCAGGGGTCACCTGGGGGCAGCTGCCCCGGGCCGGCCGGGACGCCCAGTTCCCCGCGCTCCCCGGGCCGTGCCTGAGGGGATGTCCAGACTGACGAGGGGCACGGAGAGCTGCTTGAGTGTGGCCAGCGCGCGGGTGCAGGGGCCCCCGACCTGGGCCAGCTCGACGCCGGGCCCCAGCACTGCGTCCACCACCAGCCTGTAGGCAGCGTTGATGAGCTGCACCTGCGGGGTGGGGACCGGGCACCGCGGGGTCAAGGGCGGCCGGGCGGGCACCACACCTGCGCGCACGCTCGCCCTGCTGCCTGCTCCCACCTCGGATGGCAGGTAAGCCAGGAAAGGGACGTCCATCTTCTCGCACTGGGTGGTCAGGTCCCGGTGCAGCGCGTCGAGGGAGCGCGTCGGGTAGAAGATGCTGGGTTCGTACTCCTAGGGTGTGGGGACGGGGCTGAGGGGGGCGCCCAGGAAGAGGGCCCTGCAGGGAGGAGCCGGGCTGGACGCGGTGTGGGGGCGCCCCAGCTACTCACAAACGCCCGCAGGTGCCGGGCGCAGACCAGCCCCACCGCCCCGTTGTGCTCCGGACCACACACGACCAGCACCGTCCTCTGCTTGCGGGCCAGGGTGGGCAGCGGGAACACCTGGTGGGGGCGGACAGCAGAGGTCCGAGGCCGGCCACTGCTCCGTGCGCCCCGGCGGGCAAGGCGGACAGGAACCAGGGCGCAGGGCAGGAGGTGGTGGGCTGGGAGCCAGGGCGCAGGGCGGGATGTGTCCAGGCCGGGCTGGGCTTGTGCCAGTCCTGCACCAGGACACGCGCCTGCCGCTCCGGCCAGCGGCTCCCTGCAGGCGCTCGACCGCAGACCCATCTGCAGCCAGTTTCCACACTGCGGCCAACCCCGCCTGGGCCTCAGGCCAGGCTGCCTCTGGAGGCCCCAGTTCTCTGCGTGGGCGCCCCAACTCGGCCTCTCAGCCGCGCCCCCCCCCCGACCTTTGAGGGGTGTCTTCTTTATGCCAGGATGCCCCAGGTCTCCCATGTGGGTGGCAGGGGCCCCTGGAATTTAGTCACCCCTACTGCGCCCTAGGGTGCCTGTGAGCAGGCAGGGGGAGTGTGAGACATGGCTGGATGGGGGTCCCTGGTCCTACAGTCCCTCATTGGCACCACCAGCTGCCTCCCCCATAGACGCACAGCAGCCAGTGGTTGCTGTGGAGTAGGCTAAACCTTTATTTGTGGCTCCTGCATCCCATACAGGTGCTGCCCCACTTCCCATCCAGCTCCCTGCCTGTGGCCTGGGAAAGCAGTGGAGGACGGCCCACAGCCTTGGGACCCTGCACCTGCGTGGGAGACCCGGAAGAGGCTCCTGATCGGAGCAGTACCGACCATTGCAACCACTTGGGGAGTGACCCAACGGATGGAAGACCTTCTGTGCGTTGTGCCTTTGCCGCGGGTCCAAGGGGCACATAGTGGCATGCTGGGAGGCCTGGCCCTGGGTCCCACCCTGCTCTGCACTCCAGCCACACGTGACCAGGACCGTGTGACCCCAGAGCCCGAGGAGGGATCCTCTCAAGCCGAGTGGCTTTCATTTCCGGGTTCCTGCACCTGGGATGTTTAGACAGCTGAGTCATTGTAGAGATGGCGTGTTTTGAGTATACAAGTGGCCATAATCAGAAGGGGAGGGGACGAGACCCCAGCAACCGCCCGGTGTCCAGGTGTGGAGCCCGGGGCTTGGGTCACGCGTCAGAACCTGCATTCCAGCCCTCTGGTGTTCTGTATTAGGGGTACTTGCTGGGGGAGACAGTGTCCCCTGCGGGGCTGACACCCAGTATCTGGTCAGGACCAGCTGAGCGCCCTTGGGGGTCTGTGTCCCCCTACGTGGGGGATGATGGGCCTGGGGGGGGTCCTGGGTGAGCTGGCGCGGGTACCTTGGTCACAGCGACGGCGCTGGCATGGCCGCACAGCTCCACCAGCTGCTGCCGGCCGAAGCGATACTCTTCCAGCAGCTCCTGCTCCAGGGCGGACGCCTCCGCCACGCTGGGGACCAGAGGGAGAAGCAGGGGCTGCCCGTGGACATGGGTGCCCCATGTGGCCCCTCATGTCCGAGTGCCAGTGCGGGGCGGGGGGAAGCACCCTCTGGCAGCCATGGGGGTGCTGGCAGCGTGTGAGGGTGGGCAGGAGGGGGAGCAGGGTCGGGACACCCCCAAATCTAACAGCGGGTGGCAGAGGGAGCAGGGTGGGAGGTGAGGGCCTAGGACAAGGCTGGGGGTGTCTGAAATTTGGTGGGCTTGCTGGCTCTTTTTGGGGGGAACCTAGTCCTCACAGCCTCTGGCTGCCCAGCCTCCCCCTGAGCAGCAGTGAGGTCACCCCAGCCCACCCCCACGTGGCTGAGTGGCACCATGCCAGGCAGAGGGTGGTGAGGAAGGCTTGGTGGGCAACGGGTGTGTGTGGGGAGGTCAACAGACACATTAAGACGGCTCTCTGAGCAGCACCTGGTGGCTGTGGGGGTTGGGGTGCTGGGACCCCAAAGTGGAAGGAGCCAGTGGGAAGCAGGGAGGGCAGGGCCAGGTGGACAGCACGGCAGAGCCCGGCTGTACCCGGAGGTCAGGACAGTGACAGGTCAGGAGAGTGTTGGGGCTCCCCGCGGGTGGGGAACTGTGGGGGCTCCGGGCAGGGGAGGCCCTGGGCCTGCAGCTGGGGGAGGATAGAGGGACAGCCGGCTCCAGGGCACCTTGGAGGGTACGCAGTCCAGTCCTGGGAGTTGGGCTGTCCCTGGCCTAGCACCTGCTCTTTCCTGCCTCTGGCAGCGCCTAACTGCTCAGGAGGACATGGGGGGACAGTGTGGGCACACGGGCAGGGAGTGATGGCTCTGTGGGCTGGGAGGCCGGTGGGGATGGGGCAGGGGTTAGGGCCCGAGCAAAGCCCCAAGAAAGGGGTGAGTGGATCCAGGCCCACAGGTGCCCCAGGGAGGGTGCAGCGTGCTGACGCTGTGGGAGCTCACCAGCCCCTGGGCACACTCCTGCCAGGTGAGCTTGGGCTCTGCTGGGGCACGGGCTCGGGGTGGGCTGTGGCTCCAGCGCCAGCCCCGCTGGGGTGTCCCTGCCCAACACTGCCGGCCTGTGGTGACCGCCTGACCCAGGCCCCTGCTCTGCCCGGGCGGACTGGGCAATGATGCTGGTTGAGGCAAGGGGTGTGCCCTCAGCCTGGCTCTCCAGTGGGGCGTGGGGGGGGGGGAGGGCCAGTCCCCCATCCCTGATCCCCCTGTCCCCGGCTGACCTGAGGAGGTGCAGCCCCTTGGTCCTGCTTATGGCGTGGCCAGCACCCTGTCCCCCGGGTCCCCTCTGTCCCGCTCGTGACCGCGGTCAGCACCCTGTCCCCGGGTCCCCTCGGTCCCGCTCATGGCCACGGTCAGTACCCTGTCCCCTTGGTCCCCTCTGTCCCGGGCTGACCTGAGGAGGTGCAGCCCCTCGGTCCCCCTCGTGGCTGCGGTCAGCACCCTGTCCCCTTGGTCCCCTCTGTCCCGGGCTGACCTGAGCAAGCGCGGCCCCTCCAGCTCCTCGGTCCCGCTCATGGCCGCGGACAGCACTTGGTCAGCACTTGGTCAGCACCCCAGAGCTGTGGTCCTTTTAAAGCTCTCCGCTGGGGTGGGGCCCTTGCGCCCGCCCTCCCTCAGTGGGCTGGCCAATCAGGAGGCACCATGAAGGCGCTGCATGGTCATTGGTGGGTGCTGCGGAGGCCCCGCCCCACCCCGGTCAGCACTGAGAGGCAGGTGGGGGGACAGTGAGGATGAGGATGAAGAGGAGGAAGAGGATGGTGAGGCCCGAGAGGCCGGCCTGGGGAGCCCCCCACTGCACCCCCACGGCGGCCCTGGCTGGCCCCTCCAGCGGGCTGGCAGCCCGGGGCTGGCGGTGTGGACGCGGGGCTGGCGGTGTGGACGCGGGCGCAGTGCTGAGGCCGGGTCAGGCTGCGAGGCGCGTTTATTTCCGCCGGGGGCGGCCTACGTGTACCACATGAAGCCGTAGTTGGCACGCAGCATCTCCTCGGAGCTCCGCAGTCCGTACAGCTCTCCGGGCGTGGGCGGCACCCAGCGCGTGGTGTGGAACACCGACTCGCCCACCTGTGGGGGACAGTGGCAGGTGGGGCGCGCTGGGGACCCCACTGTCCCCCCGGGCTGGTGGCCCCGCTTCCTCACCTTCCAGTCCGGCACATCCTTCATGATGACCGCCTCCTCTTCCAGGTTCTCCCGCAGCATTTGCAAGATCCTGCACAGGGGCGAGGGGCTGAGTGTCGGGGGACGCCTCCCTCGGCCCCCCGGCCCCCCAGGCCCCACCGACCCACCTGCGGTCCTTCTCGGCCTGCAGCAGCGGCATAAGTGCCAGGCGGGCCTCCAGGTCCTCAATGTGCAGGCGCCTGCGGGACGGCCAGCTGTGTCAGCCCCCGCTGTCGGGGGGCGAGCAGCTGGCACCCCAGGGCCCTGGGCGGTGCCCATGGGAAGCCTGTGCTGGGGGCGGGCAGCTGGCACGCCAGGGCCTTGGGCGGTGCCCATGGGAAGCCTGTGCTGGGGGCGGGCGGGAGGCGGGCAGCTGCTCCAGGGCGCCGGCCTCAAAACTGTCGGCTTCACACTTTTCTTCTCAATTAAAAACTTTGTAGCCTAAAAATAGCTCTGCCTGCTGACTGTGTGGGGCAGGGCGAGGGGACATTGTCTCAAAATAACCAGGGGTGGGCGGAGGCCAGCTGGGGGGCGGCCTGCGCCTTCCTGCACCCATCCCGCCTTCCAGCAGCTTCCGAGGTCCGAGGAGCCGGCCCGCGGCCACCCGCCCCTGTCGCGTCTACACAGTGCCTGGCACTCGGGGGGGGGGGGGCTTGCTGCAGGGTGATGGAGGTGATGGCCCCCGCCCCCCGCCCCTCAGGAGTGGGCGTAGGGGTCAGCGGCAGCCTGCACCTGCTGCGGCCGTGGGGACACACGTGGCAGACCCCCCCCCCCAGGCCCCCTACCTGCGTTCTCGATTCCACTTCATCATACCCCAGTACCCAAACAGCAGCGTCCCGATGCCCACGGCGAACATGCTGTATCCTGCAGGGACAGCCAGGGGCCGCTCAGCGCTCGGGCACACGGGGGAGGCGACAGGCCCCCTCCCCACAGTGCCTGCTGGGGCTCACGGGCACTGCAGCTGGGCAGGCTGGTTCCACACTCCTGGAGGTTGGCGCCCACCGGCCAGGGTGCCCCATCCTGCAGGGCAGATTGGCAGAGCCTCCAGCGTCGGGGTGCCGGGGCGCCCCACCAGGCTTGGGCACACGAGCTGCAGTGGGCCCCCACCCAGGGAAAGGCCCTCTTGGCCCCGTCTTTCTCCTTCAGGTTGCTCTGGCACGTCTGACCGAGCCCGGTTAGTTCAACGTCTGGGAAACGGGCGGGCGGGCTCCCTGCGCGTGCCCACCTGGGAGGTGGGAGGCAGTCAAGGTGCCACGGACACGGGCGACTGGGGTGCAGCTCCCCGCTCCTGCCGGGCACCGCCTGCCTGTTACAGGCCTTTAGGGAAGGAACTGGCAGAGGGAAGACTTCTCTCTTAGCAAATAATGAAGTCCAGGACTGGTCCTGTGGCGTCACTAATAAAACCGCTGCATGTGGCCGCGACAGTCCATATGGGCGCCAGTTCGAGTCCCGGCTGCCCCACTTCCCATCCAGCTCCCTGCCTGTGGCCTGGGAAAGCAGTGGAGGACGGCCCACAGCCTTGGAACCCTGCACCCGGTGGGAGACCCGGAAGAAGCTCCTGGCTCCTGGCTTCAGATCGGCTCAGCTCTGGCTGTTGCAGTCACGTGGTGAGTGAACCAATGGACGGAAGACCTTCCTCTCTGTCTCTCCTCTGTGTAAATCTGCCTTTCCAGTAAAAATAAATAAATCTTCAAAAAAAAAAAAAATTCGAACATTTCTCCAAGAAAGATACATAAACAGCCAACAGGTCGTCAGGGAGATGCAGTTCAAGCCACAGGAGTTCCAGGACTGCAGTGACTCGGGGTGGAGGGGCGGGGGTCCGCGGGGGTGCCGGCTGCTGCGGACCCCACGGCCTGCAGCGCACGGGTGGGTGGCTGGGCTCCGGGCCTGCCGGGGGCTCCCCTTCCCATCCAGCTCAGCACAGCCCCCGCTGCCGTGCACCCTGGGTGCTGGGGCGTGAACCCGGGGACAGAAGGGGCAGCATCGCACACAACGGGGGCCTGGCCACCCCACATGGGAGACCCAGATGGAATTCGGGTTCCTGGCTTCGGCCTGGCCTTGCCCCTGCCCCTGCCATCTGCGGCATGCCGTGGGGAGCAGTGGGCTGAAGGCACGCCCTGGTGGGCGGCAGGGTCCCTGTCTCCTGGGGACTGAAGCAGGGGATGGGGGCTGGACTGCCCTCCGCCTCTCAGGGGTGGGCAGAGGGGAGTGGATGCCTCGGCCAGCAGCCGGGGGGACAGAGGCTGGCAATTCTGGCCACACTGGCCCCTCGGCTAGCCGGCCCTGGTGCCATGCCTGCCCAGACTATGCCAGCCCAGGCTGCTGCTGCCACTCGGGCAGTGAACCAGCGGAACAGCTCTCTACGTATGCCTTGCAAATAACTAGACACTTAACGGCAGATTACGGAGCAAATTCAAAAAGATCTTCCACCTGCTGGCTCACTCCCCAAGTAGCCACAATGGCCAGATCCGAGCTGATCTGAAGCCAGGAGCCAGGAGCCTCTCCCGGGTCTCCCACGCGGGTGCAGGGTCCCCAGGCTGTGGGCCGTCCTCCACTGCTTTCCCAGGACACAGGCAGGGAGCCGGGTGGGATGTGCAGTGATGGCGGGTCAAGCTTCCAAATAAGTTTAAAACTTACAAAACAAAAAAGAAATTGAAAGAGGTGCTGCCGGGGCAGGGGTGTTGGTCTGTGGGCGGCAAAGGGGCCTGAGAAAAATCCCCAGAAAAGGCGCAGGCCGACGCAGACCCCGTAGGGTGCGTGTGGGGGGGTGCAGACCCAGACGGTGGCGTAGGGGTATCCCCATCCCCTCCCACAGCTGGACCACCAGCCAGCCAGCCCGGGGGGGGTCAGGGTCACCGTGCTGACCTCTCCGGGGTGCTGGACTCCGCGAGCCTCTAGGACAACCACAGTCCCCCACAGCCCCCCAATGCCGACGGAACCCGGGGGGACCGGCTCTGTGCCACCCCGAGGACTTGGGCACCCCGTCGGGAGCTGGGCACCCCGTGAGGAGCTGGGCACCCCGTGAGGAGCTGGGCACCCCGTGAGGACCTGGGCACCCCGTCGGGAGCTGGGCACCCCGTGAGGACCTGGGCACCCCGTGAGGACCTGGGCACCCCGTGAGGACCTGGGCACCCCGTCGGGAGCTGGGCACCCCGTGAGGACCTGGGCACCCCATGAGGACCTGGGCACCCCGTGAGGAGCTCGGCGCCCCGTGAGGACCTGGGCACCCCGTCGGGAGCTGGGCACCCCGTGAGGAGCTCGGCGCCCCGTGAGGAGCTGGGCACCCCGTGAGGACCTGGGCACCCCGTCGGGAGCTGGGCACCCCGTGAGGACCTGGGCACCCCGTGAGGAGCTCGGCGCCCCGTGAGGAGCTGGGCACCCCGTCGGGAGCTGGGCACCCCGTGAGGAGCTCGGCGCCCCGTGAGGACCTGGGCACCCCGTCGGGAGCTGGGCACCCCGTGAGGACCTGGGCGCCCCGTGAGGAGCTGGGCACCCCGTGAGGAGCTGGGCACTCCGTCGGGAGCTGGGCACCCCGTCGGGAGCTGGGCACCCCGTGAGGACCTGGGCACCCCGTGAGGACCTGGGCACCCCGTGAGGAGCTGGGCACCCCGTGAGGAGCTCGGCGCCCCGTGAGGAGCTGGGCACCCCGTGAGGACCTGGGCACTCCGTCGGGAGCTCGGCGCCCCGTGAGGAGCTCGGCGCCCCGTGAGGACCTGGGCGCCCCGACAGGATGGAGCGCCGGCCCAGCTCGGCTGTGCACCCCCAAACCCAGGCGCACCCCGGCGCGCCGTCACCCCGCGCGGCCCACCCCGCACCCCGAGAGCTCCCCCGGCCCACCAGGCGACCCTCACTGACCCGACAGTCCCCGACGCGGCAGGTTCCGCTTGTAGTCGATGGGGCCGTATCCCCCCGGCGGGGGCATGTCCTGCTTCACCTTCGACGCCGCCATGGTCGCTGCAAACTCCGCGCTTCCGGCCCGCTAGCGGAAGTGACGCGATAGGCGCGAGCCCTCTACCGCCGCCATGAGGAGTGTGGCGGAAGTGTCCGCGGGCTCGACCTCCCTTGCAGCGCCAGGGGTCTTGGGGGGCATGGTGGACCCCGACCTCGACTTCCAGGGTCGTTGGTGCGCCTTGGCGGACGCTCGGGCTCCGACGGTCCGTGCATGACACCGTCAAGAGCCCCCACGTCCCAGGGGCGCTGTGGGCTCAGCGCCCCCCACCTCACACCCTTGTAGTGTTTGGGGGGCCCCCTGCGCTCTCTCCCATCCCCGTCCGCGCGTGTGGAGAGGCGCCTCTGCTCCCCCATGGCTGCTGGGCTTTATCAGCCGGGACGGAGCGTCTGAGGGCCATTGTGAGTCACAGGACCCCACCCCGTGGTGAGGGGCACCCCGAGGGCCTGCAGTGGCGGGGCGCAGCCGTGACGCCCCCGGTCACTTCACAAGGCCGAAATTGTTACCGAGGGCGGGGGTCCGGCGGGGCCCCGGCCGCGTGGGCACATGGGGGTGCGGGGGTGCAGGTGCCCAGCGTCATGGGTTAGGTCCGAGCTCGGCGTCCCCGGCTCTCCGCCCCGCGCGCCCCGGCTCGGTGGGGTGCCACCATGTCGGGCGACAAACTGCTGAGCGAACTGGGCTATAAGCTGGGGCGCACCATCGGCGAGGGCAGCTACTCCAAGGTCAAGGTGGCCACGTCCAAGAAGTACAAGGGCACGGTGGCCATCAAGGTGGTGGACCGGCGGCGCGCGCCGCCCGACTTCGTCAACAAGTTCCTGCCGCGCGAGCTGTCCATCCTGCGCGGCGTGCGCCACCCGCACATCGTGCACGTCTTCGAGTTCATCGAGGTGTGCAACGGCAAGCTGTACATCGTCATGGAGGCCGCGGCCACCGACCTGCTGCAGGCCGTGCAGCGCAGCGGCCGCATGCCCGGGCCGCAGGCGCGCGAGCTCTTCGCGCAGATCGCCGGCGCCGTGCGCTACCTGCACGACCACCACCTCGTGCACCGCGACCTCAAGTGCGAGAACGTGCTGCTGAGCCCGGACGAGCGGCGCGTCAAGCTCACCGACTTCGGCTTCGGCCGCCAGGCGCACGGCTACCCGGACCTCAGCACCACCTACTGCGGCTCGGCGGCCTACGCCTCGCCCGAGGTGCTGCTCGGCATCCCCTACGACCCCAAGAAGTACGACGTGTGGAGCCTGGGCGTCGTGCTCTACGTCATGGTCACCGGCTGCATGCCCTTCGACGACTCGGACATCGCCGGCCTGCCGCGCCGCCAGAAGCGCGGCGTGCTCTACCCCGACGGCCTCGAGCTGCCGGAGCGCTGCAAGGCGCTCATCGCCGAGCTGCTGCAGTTCAGCCCGTCGGCGCGGCCCTCGGCCGGGCAGGTGGCCCGCAACGGCTGGCTGCGCTCGGGGGACTCGGGGTAGCCGCGCGCGCCCCGGGCCTGCCCGCTCCGTCCAGCCCGGGCGGCGGCGTCGGCGGCACGCAGGGCGCAGGCGCGCGCCGAGGGACGCGCTGCCAGGACGGCGTGCGACGCCGTCGCGCGTCAGGGCGCACGCGCCGCCCCTTCCCTCCCTCCTTCCCTCCCGCTTCCCACCGCGGATCCACGGCGGGGGCCCCGCCCACCCGCCAGAGAGCTGGAGCGCGCACGCGCGCCGGCGAGGCCCGCCCCCTCGAGCGGAGGGGCGGGGCCGGGACGAGCGGGAAGCCCCGCGCCTGCGCGGAACGAGCGCGGCCCGCTGCACCTGCTGCTGGTGGCTGGGGGTGCAGAGGGATGCGCCCCCGGGTGTCGCCCCCCGCAGATGCAATAAAGCCGCTCTTCCTCGCACGGGCTCTGGTGGAGGGTCCGCCCCTTTTGTGCAGGGCGGATGCCCCCTCTGCAGAAAGGCACGTTGAGGTTCCAGCCCACGTGGGTGTGTAGGGGGTGGGCGTGCAGGCTGGGCGAGCGTCCCTAATCCACCTGGGGTTTTGGGGGTGGGTAAGGAGGCACAGCCACCCTATGCTTGGGCAGAAGGGAGGCGGTGCAAAAAGCAGACCAAGAGTAATTGTGGGCGTTCAATGCCAGGCAGGGTCAATGGCGTGGGGGGCGGAGTACGTTTTGTCTGCAGCCAAGCCCTGCCAGGTGGTCCCACTAAATCCTTGCAATGCCTTTCACCCCGGGAGTGGAGGGGGTCCCTGCTGGCTGCCCCAGCGCCTGGCTCCACACAGGAGGAATGCGACAGGCTTGGGCCTGCATTTCAGCCACTGTCCCCTGCCAGGCGGCCTTGCCCGAGGAGATGCCCAGTCCACAGGGCCGCCCACCTTCCCCTGGCCAGAGGGGCACACCCGCCGCTGAGCCTGCAGTGTACTGGGGAAGGACCCCAGCCCCTTGGAGAGCAGGGTTCCAAGGCCCAAGTGACTCCCCCCACACCAACCGACTCCCTGCCCCCCGACAGGCCCTGTTTCCGGTCACTATGAGGGCTGGGGGCGGTCCTCGGTAACTGGGGAGCCTTCCTGGTTGGGGCTGGAGTTGCCAGGCCCCAGGGGTTTGTGGGTTCTGACACGAGACCCTCACCACAGGGTCTTCCCCCCCACGGAGGACGAGCCTGGGCCGAGAAGGGGGATTATCCTGGACCTGGGCCTGTGCACGGGGTGGGCACAAAGCCACTGTGTCCCTGAGGCGGGGCCAGGTCATGGCCAAGGCCAGCCGACCGTGTACAGGAACCATCGCTGTGGGGCTACAGGGGGTGACGCTGGCACTGTGGGGTCGCCTGACCCCAGAACACTGCACGGAGCTGCGACGGGGGACGGGAGAGGGGACACGACTCAGACACCTGCTTGGAGGAGCTGGGTGACGCAGTGGGGACACAGCCGCTTGCACACCCAGGGTGTCCCACCGGCAGCAGGTGCACCCCTCCTGGGCCCGCCAGCCGCAGCACAGCACGGAGAAACGGAGAAACGGGTTAAATGAGCTTTTATTAGAACGTTGTAGCAAGTTGTGTGGGGAGAAGGCGGCCCTACAAAAATAAGGGTTTTAAATTAAAGTCCCTAACGGCGTCCGTGGCTGGAGCTCCACCAGCCGGCCCCGCCCTCGCGCACCTGCGTGGGGACCCCCGCCCCAGCCCGCGGTGCAGACACGCGGCTCTTCCACCTGTCCTCGGGAAACTGATTTGTAAGGAGGCAGAAGGTGGAGGGAACGAAAATAAAATGGAACTAAAAGCAGACCTGATCCTTGAAACAAAAAACACTTCTGGATTCTCTACCGGGAGGAGAAGAAAGGGGAAGCAACCCAGACCCTCAGCCGTTCTTGGCAGACGCGGCTCCGAGCTGGACCATGTGGGGGCCCACCCGGTGCCCCAGGCCCGGACACACAGCTGACCCGAGCACAGGCCCGGGGCTGGCTCAAGACTGTGTCCGTCCGAAGGAGTAGGGGAAAAGATTTAATAAAATAAACCACCACAACAACAAAAACCGCCATGACCACCCTCCCCGCACGCCCACGCCCCCCGCGACCGCGGCAGTGGGGGCGGCAGGCTCTGGTCCCTTCTCCGCGGGCCCTGGGTCTCCGGGACGAGCAGCAGCAGCCCACCCTCCAGGGGGCGAGGCCGGGTGCCACAGGGACCCCCGGGTCGGCCATGGGTCACTTACAGCTCCATCATCATGAGGTGATCCAAAAAGAAAAAAATTAAAAAAAAAGAGAAAAGTCTTTCAACCTACAGACTGCCCAAGGCAGCAGCCTGAGAGCGTGGGCAGGGCAGGGGAGCAAGCCCGAGGGAGCCGTGCACACGCCGGCCTCGCCTCGCCACGCGTGTCACAGTGTCCGTCCAGGGCGGGGCCGACGCAGCCCCCGGGGCTGCTGCTCTGCTGGTGTCAGGCAAAATGCAAGGCCAAGGTCGACAGCCCGCGGGCAGGTCCCGGGTCCGAGGCCCGTCCACCCGCGGGGCCGTGGGGTCCTGCGGAGCATGGCGTCTTCCTGAGCGAGCGGAGGGGCCGGGCCTCTCCACGTGCTACTTCCACGTGGCCGACTGTGGGATGGCCCGCGGCGGGATCATGTCCAGCAGGTACTCGCGCTGGCGCTCCACGGCCGAGGAGCTCTTGTGGGCCAGGCCCGGGCCGACGAACGTGAGGGTCCCGCCTGGAGACACACGGGGCGGGCGTCGGGGGAAGCCCAGGCGGGCACACCGGACTGCCCCCAGGGCCCCCACTCACACCACCTCCTCTTCCCTGGGAGCCTCAGTCCCCCCACAGGCCAACACCCCCCACACTCTGCTTAGATGCCCAGCGGGACTGAGACACGGGTTGTGCCCCCTGACTGGGGACAGCAGCGTGTGCTCAACCCCACTGGCACCAGCAGCTGGCTGGCCTGCCCCAGTGCCCAGCCACGCTGCCACTCCTGCCCCTGAGGCCGCAGGCTGCGTGGCTCCTGCCCCAGCCCCACTTCTCACTTCGCTGTCCTTGGGGCCACACCACGTTTGTGGCGTCACGTTAACAGGGACATGCACAGTGCCCAGCGGCTGTCAGGGGGACCTGGCAGGCAGCAGGGCCCACTCGGGGTTCTCTCCCATTCCCCGGTGGTTCTTCAAATCCGGCCTCTGCGGCAGGCCCAGCCGCGGGCCCAGGCCCCCTGCTCCGACAGCACACAGCCACGCTGCCCGGGCCTCGCCTGGCCTGTGCTGCTGATGGGGGTGCGGGCGTGAGTCTGGGGGAGACGCACCCACCTGTGCCGAGAGCCGTCTTTTTCCAGTTGGAGGGGGCACTGCCCTTGCCGGCGCCCGCGGCCCTGTCGGAATGTCTGCCGCCCTTGCCCACGAGCGCCGCGGCCGCGTTCTGCAGCTTGGACGACTGGCTGAAGGTGTGCAGGACGCCCCGGGGCGCCGCGGCCGAGCCCCGCGAGAGCTGGCTGGAGGCCTGCAGCGGCGAGAGGGACGGGGACCGGCTGAGCGGGGCAGGGCGCTCGGCGGGCTGCAGAGCATCTCCTGGCTCCGGCTCTCCCCACCCGCACCGGGTCCCTGCAGTCCGGAGACAGGCCGGCCGGTCACGCCGCGGGCGGCAGGAGGGGCCAGGGGGAAGAGAGCTGGCGAGAGAGACGGCGGAGAGAGAGGGACAGACGGTGGCAGCCTGGCGCGGCGGCGAGCGGCGGGGCGCCGCGGTTCTGACCTGTAGCACGGCCCCGTTACTCCAGTCGCGGGCCTCTCCCGAGCGGAACGCCAGCTTCCGCCGTGGCTTTACAACCTACACAAACGGGGCGGGTGGGACGGGTCAGCGCCCTGCGGCCGGCCGGGGCCCCGCTCACCGCCGGGGGACGTGTCGGGGTCCCGGGGCGGAGCCGCACCAGAGGAACAGCCACAGGAGCCGAGCCCCAGACACCCCAGAAGGCGCAGAAGCTCGGCCCCACGCGCGCGGCTAGCTCGCCCTCCGCGCAGTGGCACTTGTCGGCCACGAACGCCGGGAGAGCTGCAGGTGCCGGTTTTCACTGGGAACGCCAGCACCGAGTGCCACCCAGACACGCGGCCCCGCATCGCGCCCGCGCGGCTCTCACCTGCTTGAGCGCGGGGTGCGGGGCGGCGGGCTCGGCCTTGGCGGGCGCGGGGCTGGCGCCCTGCAGCAGCCGCTGCTCCAGCTCCTGCTCCTGCTGCAGCGCCCTGACGAAGGCGGCCTTCAGGCGGCTCGTGTGCTCGGCCTTGAGCGCCCGCTTCTGGCTCGACGCCATGCAGCTCTCACACATCACCGCGCCCTTCTCCTCGCGCCAGCGGCACGTGAAGTCCGTCTTGCACTGTGCGCACACGTAGGGCTCCCGCGACAGCGCCACGGCGGCCGGCACCCTGCCTGCTGCGGGGACACGTGTGTGGGTGGGCTCGCGTCCAAGACCAGAGCAGACCGAGGCGCCGTGACAGCCCCCCGCCCCCAGGCCACAGACACAGGCAGCGCCCTGGGCCGGGCCGCCCTGCGGCCACCAGGACACTGCAGTGGTGGGTGGGACACACACCAGGGCCCACGCGCGCATGGCCACGGGCTGAGCGTTTCTGGGAAGCATCACAGGACCGGCACCGCGGGGTTAGCTCTCTAAACACACTGGGGGCGCCAGCCCGGCCTCTGGTCCCCCAACACCACCGGAAGCTACCGAGGTGGCTGTGGCCATGCCAGGCTGCCCTTCGCCGACAGAAGAGGGACCAAGTCCGGGGTGGTCCACACATCCCTCTACTGTGTACCGGGCACCTCGGCGGGCAGCGAGCCACCTGCCCGGCTGTGGGGTTCCCACGCCCGCTCAGGGCGTCACTTGCCTTTGTGGCCATGACAGCCCGTGGTGCTGGGAGGGCGGGCGGAGAGCCCCTTGGCCCTCCTCTTCCTGCGGGCCTGAGCCAGGAGGGGCCGAGCGCCCCACCTCTGGAAGCCCCCGATCCACAGAGGATGGGGTGTCCTGGCCCAGCCCCCCCGGGGCCAGGGCCTGGCCTCTGCCCGGCGACAAGAGCGCATGTCCAACCCCGAGGGAGGCTGTGGTACCTGCGGCCGGCGGGAGCAGCACCAGAGCTGGGACGGGGCGCGAGGCCGCGCTGAGCCGCCCGGCCGGGGGGTCGGGGAGGTGTCAGGAGCCGCCTTCAGGGAGGGCTCTGAGCCTCCGGCCACACTTAGGTCCTGTTTTGGCAACAGGAGAGGGACACTGACCCCTGATGAGAGAACGAGCAAAGACAGGCGGTCTGCCAGAGCGGGGGCCGTGCGTGCAGACGGCCGCCCGGCTCGGGCCTCCTGCCCGCCCCACCGGCCGTGGCCCCTCTTCCACCGAGGACACAGCTAAGGGCTCCGGCCCCTGCGGGCCCTGTCACGGCCCTCCCCATGGCTCTCCCTGGGGGTGCTCCTGCGCTCAGGGCAGGGTGTGAGTGTGGGGTGGGGGAGGCTACGCAAGCCAACCTGCCAGTGGTCTGGGGCCCGTCTGGGCGTGGGACCCCGGATGCTCGCCGCCCCTGGCCTCTGTCCCCTATCGGCGCCCCTCCTCTCTGCCGGGGACAAGGCTGTGTGGCTTGTCCCACCACTGTCACCACCAACTCAAGTCCGGGCACAGCCGAGGGGGCCGAGCCAGCGTTCCTACCAGCCCAATGTCCGGAATGGGCAAAGCGACCCCAGCCCAGGCACAGGCCACACTCCCCCAGCTCATAGCATTCAAGGCGCTGCAAAGTTCTGCCTGCGTGGTAACCCCACGCTTGCCCGGGAACCCTCCTGGAGACGCCCGTCAGCCGGTCACACTCCCCTGCCTCCACCTCAAGGCACAGCGACATCCCCGGGCCACCACACCATTTGCCAGCACGTGGCTCTCAGAACGACGGCGACACAGCGGCCCCGCAGCCCACCCGCCACAGCTGTGGGAGGAGCTGGCGCGTGTGGACGGGGCGCATGCTGCGGCCCCCGAGGCCAGCCGCGGGCTCACCTTGGGTTTCCAGCAGGTTCTGCACGACCTCCTCGAGGCCCACCAGGTAGATGAACTCGTTGTTGGCGGCGCTGGGGAGGAAGTTCAACTCGGGGGCGGGGGGCTTGGGTGGGGGGATCTCCAGCAATGTCTTCTCCAGCTGCTTGCGGAGTGCAAGCTTGGCGGCCGCCTGGCGGCTGGCTGGGGACTCGGCGGGCGTGGTCACGCCTGCCACGCTGCTGCCTGCGGAGCTGGCCTGTGCAGAGCCAGCTGGCGTCCCCTTCAGCGATGCTGGGGTGGCCTTGGGGGGCGGGACGGAACAGACAGCACTGTCAGGGCCCTGCTGGGCAGGCCCGGGGGAGCTCCCCGTGGGAGTCCACGCCCTCTCTCCATCCAGGGCCTGCAGGTGTCAGCGCCCTGACCAGGCCCGGGACCCACCCTGCGCCCAGACTGCCCTCATGGCTTCTTGGGCCCGGGGCTCCGGCTGAATGCCAGGACCCCCTCCCACCTGCAAGGGGTCCCTGAGGTGAGCTGACGAGAGACCAGACGCTAGCCTGTCCCTACTCGTCCCCTCACTGCCTAGAGACCAGTGGGGACGGCAGGCGACCCACCCGCCCCAGGACGTCCACCCACGTGGGGCAAGACAACCGCCCACCCACTGCTTGGCTTCAATCTTTGAGAAGGCAGAGCACGCACTCCAGCGCCAGCTGGCTGCGTTCGCCGGAGCCAGGCGGGCAGAGCGAGTACCACCCCAGCAGAAGACCCTGCGCCGCTCAGGGGGCATGCGAGAGCTGACGGCGACAGAGCTGCTGCTGTCACGTGCCACCCTAAGGCCGCCAGTCCGCAGAGCCCTGCCCGTCCGTCCGCGGGTCTCCACCTCACGCCCCGCACCCGTGCCTCCCCGCCCTCACCTGTGGGATGTTCACCAGCAGGCTGGCACTGGGGACGTTGGCGACGCGGATGAGGCCCTGCTGGATGACTCTCTGGCCCTGGATCTGCACGCTGGGCACCGAGGCCCGGGGCGCCAGGAGGAGGGGCGGCGGCCCAGTGCTGGAATGCTGTCGGATGGTGTGGATTTGCTGCAGGGGACAAGAGTGCGGGCTCTGAGACCTGCACCTGGGCAGGTGGGCAGGTGGGCGGGCAGACAGGTGTGCGTGCGGGCCAGGCGGGGCTGCTCACCTGGGCTCCTCGCACGAGTGGCGGCATGACGACCTGGGCACTGGCCTGTGGCCCCAGCTTCGAGGCCGCCTGCTGCCCGCCACGGACCAGGGGCGGAGGGATGACACTGCCGGGCACCCGCGCCGACGAGCTCTGCCAACGAACCAGTGCCCACACACGTGAGTGACCGCTCACACTGTGTCCATGCAGAGGGCTGTCCTGCGTGCTGCCGCTAAGCTAGGGACTCAGGACTGGGGGGAGAGGGGCTCCCCTCTGCCAGGGCCACCTTGGGGCCAGTCCTCCCAGGGAGCCCACGCTGCCTCCCTCACACCTGCTCACCTGAATGGAAGGTTTGCCGCTAGGAATGTTCTGGGTGCCCCGCACCAGCGGGGGCGGGGTGGTCACGGCACTCCCCGCGGAGCCCACGGGCTGCAGAACAGGACAGGGGGCATGAGGAGGCGTGAGGGTGGCACAGCTCTTCTCTCCTGGCACAGGCACGGATGGTCCCCCGACAAGGAGGGCAGCCTGCTCTGACTTTGGCAGACAGAACAGTGGCAGGCGGCACCTCAGCTGGGACAGCCAGGGCCTGGCGTGTCACTGACCACTGGGACTCTGGCGTCCTCTCGTCACATACTCCAGCAGTCACGCCCCGTGACAGACTAACCCCTGTGCATGACGCTGGTGCCCCACACATGAGAGTCAAGTTCAAGGCTGCTCTGCTCCCCAGCCAGCTCCCCGCTAACGAGCCTGGGGATGCAGCAATGGCCCGAGCCACGGTGGCCCTCAGGATCTGCCGCTGCAGACTCCATGAGCCTGGCTCGGGCACGTCTCGGTGCCATTTCCCTGGCATGCCTGGCCGGGGGGCTGTGGGGCCCATGGCAGCAGTGGGACTGGCACCATCCAGACAGCCAACGGCAGACAGGTTCCCGAGTCTACCCAGGCTTGGCACCCTCCCTTCCGCCCTGCACTAAGGGAAATGGCTTCACTTAGAAACGGGGTCCTCCGCTACCCTACAGCACAGGAGCAGGGTTGGGCATCTGCCGGAGGCCCCCCAACCCACACCTGGGCCCTCCCCCGCCCCGGGGCAGCCTCACCCACCTTCTGGGCCACGGCTTCCTTCTGGATCTGGCTCTGTCGCAGCTTCTTCAGCAGCACCAGCTTCGCCTCCTCCAGCCGCAGCTCCTCCTTCAGCTGTCTGATCATGCGTCCCCGCTCCTCGGGGCTGCTCTTCTGCGAGGGCCAGAGACGCAGGCTGTGTGTCGGGGCGTGTCGGGGCGTGTCAGGGTGTGTCGGGGCGTGTCGGGGCGTGTCGGGGTCCCGGGGCAGGCAGAGCGCCGGCCTCAGTGCCCACGGCCACTCACCAGAAGGGCCTCGGCGCTGGTCTCCGGCAAGGCCACCTTGGCGAGCCCGTTCACCCGCGGGCTGCACGGCTGCTCACTGTCGGACAGCAGGATCACGTCGGGCGAGGGGGGCCTCCGCTCGGCCTTCACGTCGCTGGGGGCCCAGAAGGGGTTGTTAGTGAGTGCGCCGGGCTGCACACGTGGCCCCAAAGGCCGGGGGTGCCCTGCCAGCTGTGCCGTCCAGTCCAGGTCACGTGCCTTGAGCACCTTTGAGTCTCGGATGAATCACTTTGTCCCTGCGAACCCATCTATCTCACTGGCTGGCTGTGCACGCTGCTGCCCCCCCAACCAAGGCCACTCCCCTGCCGCCCCCCTGTGGGCCGGGGTCTGGGCCCGTGGCCAACGGCTCTGGCCACCCAGGCAGCACAGTGACAGAGCGTCCCGGCCCACGTGCTCTGACCGCTGCCCACCCCGGCCAGGCTCCTGCAGTGTCTGGCTGTCCTGTCGGCTGAGGACCGGTCGCTAGGTGGCGCTGTGACCCAGCAGACAAACTCCCCAGAAGTTAACCAGGAAAGCCACTGCTGAAGTTGTCCAGCCTCTTCCAGGAGACCACTGGCCGGCCTCACAGCCTCGGCCCTCCGCTTCCATGCCCAGCCAGCAGCATTCTCCAGGGGAGGGGGCACAGGAGACCCCAGGCTGCGGCTGGCACAGCGTGCCACCCTGGTCTTGGCGGGGAGACCTGTAGCAGCCACCGTCCCCAAGCCCACTCAGGGCTGCACCTGAGTGCTAGGCCTGGCCCACAGCCCCTGGCTGGGGTGTCTCAGCGCGCGGGAGGATGGGTGGGAAGGTGCCCGTGTCAACTTACAACCCGGGCACAGAGGGTGCCCGGCTCACGCTCGGGAGTGCAGCACCTGGCTGGTTCTCTACAAAGTGACGCTGGCCAGCTCGCTCGGTCTCAGCAGCCCCGCCACCTTCAGGGTCTTGAGGTCGCTCCTGCCGACCACCCCAGTGCCTGGCTCTTGGAGTCCGTGGGGATCCCAGCTCCCCCATACCCACTCCCAAAGGGATTCCCACCTGTACAGCCCCCAGAGGTGAGGCGTCTACAACCAAACAGCTCCCCGCGAAGTGACCCAGACCACCCAGAGGCCACAGCGCTCCCTGGCCCCACCCTGCTCCAACAGACTCCTCCATAACTCATCCCCAAGGGGTGACGTCACCGCCCGTCATGGCTCACTCAGCATCCCAGCAGCCAGCAGGGAGTGAACTTCCTGTATGCTAATCAGGCCACCAAAAAGTCACATGACAAAGGCATTTCCCTCCGTGGTCACGTGACCCTTTAACTGTGCCTTCCAACGTGAAAACCATGGCAACGGCCAGTTGAAACCGGTTTGTGACACGCAGCCTTCATTTTGAGAAGAGAGGTGAAGGTTCAGGTGCTGTCAGAAAATGGAGGCACCAGGCTCCCCGGGGAAGAGGGAGGGCCGAGGGGCTCGGGCACTTCCTGTGTCAGCGGGTCCCCTGGGCAGGCCGAGGGGAGCCCGCCCCTCCAGCTGCAAGGTGAAAAACTTCCCGGAGTGTGATTCTTAAAGGAGGCAAACAGCCAGTGGAGACCAGCACTGCAGGCCGCCTGCTCAAGTGCAGCACCGCGGCCCCTCGGTCTCGCTGCTTCTAGAAGCCTATGTAAAATACAGCGAGCCACATGGAGCGCGTGTGACCTACAAAGCTCGCGGGAGGCAGGCCAGGTTATCAGGGCGAACAAGGTTGCGGCCTGCTCCTTCGCGGCAGCCCCGCCAGCGCCTGGGGCCTGGTTAATGTTTAGGGGCCTCAGCCAGTGCCAGGGCAGGCATCTCGCCGAGGCGGCACAGCCAGGTGCCCCGTTGGGCTGCTTTTACCCTTTGCCACTCCCACCAGCAGCAGGAGCTGCCCTGGGGTGGAGGGGAGGAGGCAGCTCTGCCCAAGGGTTCAAGTTCATTCAGAAACTTGGGGGAGTCCACCTGTGGGAGAGGGGCTGGCCCCCTCCAGCCAGAGTGGAGCCATGAGGGCCGGGGCCCTGCACCCCAAAGCCCAGGCCTGGCCCGGCTCTGCTCTGTGACCTGGAGGCAGCACCCCAACACCCTGCCCTTCTTCCATGCCCCTGATGAGCACCAGGCCACCCTGAGCCACCTGTGGCCACCTCAGGGCCCGGGCCAGCAGCCCTCCAGCGCACGGGGAGTGCAGCGCCACCTACAGGCTCACACACACACACCCTCCCTTGGCATTCACAGGTGGCTGCCCCCGCGCCCCAGCCACCAGGCCAGAGATGGGCAACAGGCAACGTCAGGGATACAGGGCCAGGGAGCTGCAGCCCACCGGACGCATGGTCACACCTCTACACCACACCAAAGCTCGGTCCCTGGAGAGCCAGCCCACACCCCACACTTTACTCCCCGCGTGGACGCTGCCCAGCAGAGGCCACCACGCCACACACCATCCCAGGGACAAGGACAACATCCCTCTCTCCCCAGAGCCTGCTTCCCGCCAGCCTGGCCCGCTCCCAGCGCGGTAACCTGAGCCGGTCTCAGCTGGGCCTGCTTTGGGGGGGCTTCTCCCACACAAAGGCCGGGGGGGGGGAGGGGTGAGCAGCTGGGATGGGATTCCTGAAACCAGCCACCACTCTGCGGGGGTGGGGGGCCTTCGGCCGGGGCAAGGGGGCATCCACCCCACCTGCAGAAGGGGAGCCCCCTGCTGTCGCCAGCCCTTACACCAAGGCCACAGGAGGTCCTGGGGACCTTACTGTCACTGGGCTGGGCCCGGGGCCATGGTGGCAGCTGACACCACGAGGAAACACAGCAAACCCAAGTGCTTCTAAAAAGCCAAGGTCCCTCATCAGAAAGGAATGCGGCCCACACAAGGGTGGCCGTCCCCATCACCAGACCGCCTAGCAGCTGAGGGCCAGGCCAGGACCCGCAGACGCCCGGGCCCAGGGGCCGTGGACCTCAGAGTCTGGAAAGGACCGGTCCCCAGCCACTCCTCAGAGTTCACCTGATGAGTGCGTAGGGAACCCATACAGCCAGCACGGCCCTGGACGCCACGTACAAGGAAGGGAGACCGTGTGTGGCAGGGGCAGGGGTGGCAGCCTCAGCTTATCGCAGAGAAATGGGCCCGCAGGTGGCCAGCAGGCACCAAGGCCGTCACTGGCCCAGGCCAAGGAGCAAGAAAAGGTTGGAATTTGGGCAAGCCTGCCGGCAGGCGTGGTACACAAGCTCCAAACCTCCCGGCAGAGCAGGGAGCCCAAGCAGGCGACCGGACAACGGCCTGCTCGGCTGGCACCTCCCAGCGCCCCCGGTGTGACACGGTCCTGAGCGAGAGGAAGAGACCCTTCTCCCAAGCACCACTCCCCCGCTCCTTCCGCCGGGGACAAGACCCCGCGGAGCTGTGTGCCTCAGAGCCAGTGAGGACGAGAGGGTGCCCACTGTGAGGACGCCACCTGCCAAATCCCACGGCCGGATGGGGGCCGCGGTGAACCCCGAGGGCTGTCAAGGTCATGGAGAAGCAGGGACACCCTGAGAAGCTGGAGGAGAGGGGAGGACCCACAACACGTGGGCGCCCAGGGCAGCGGGGCCAAGTGGGCGAGGGGGCAGGGACCCAGCAACACACCGTGGGGCCGTGAGAAATGCTCCCGGACACCCGTGAATCCAGGACCATGCTGCAACTCCAACTTCAGCGACAACGATTGTCCTGGGCAAAGTGCAGAGGAGCCGCCGGCCTGGCCAGCCCGGCCGTCCAGGGGGCGAGCGCCACCGGCCCACTCGGTTTCACGCACAAGGAGGAAGCGTGTCGTTTCCTGGCTCCCCCACTGCTGGGTGGGGAGGGCCGGCTTCTCCCCCACGTGCGCCCACCAGCATGAGCACCCACGGGGGACGGACTCGGGACACGGGCAGTGGCCCCAGCGGCTGTCTGCTTGCTAACCAAGCAGGAAATGGACAATAAGGGACAAGGCTGTCCTGGCAGCTCGCTCGGCGGAAGCCCCCGCTCCGTGACCAGGGGGCACACCCTGCAGCGTGCTGTCCGCTCAGCCAGCACGCTCCGTGACGTGGCAACGGTCAGTGCTTTCCCTCTAAAGTTAAAAGTCTCTGACGAGTTATCTATGGAGAGAGACACAGAAAGCTCTTCCATCTGCTGGTTCACTCCCCAAGTGGCCACTATGGCCACCACTGAGCTGATCCCAAGCCAGGAGCCTTTTCCGGGTCTCCCACGCGGGTGCAGGTCCCAAGGCTTTGGGCCATCCTCCACTGCTTTCCCAGGTCACAGGCAGGGAGCTGGATGAGAAGTGGAGCAGTGGGGACACGAACCGGTGCCCCTAAGGAATCCTGGTGTGTTTGCAAGAGGAACACTTTAGCCACTAGGGTACTGCACTGGGCCCCAAACTCACAAACTTATCACTCAAGCGGCCATCCTCGTGAACTGACCTGGCACAGTCGGGCAGTCTCTCTTTCCAGGCACTTGGGTGCAGCCTGCCCAGCCAGGCCACCCAAGCCCTGCATGGACTCGGGCACCTATAGGGCGTCCCTGCCACCAGGTCACCAAGGGGACCCAGGGCCCACGCAAGGACAGTGGGAGCGCTCTGGGAGCATGCGTGCACCCCATCCTCTGGTTGGCTTCCAATTCCGGCACCCACCCTCCCATCCTCGCTGGCCTGGCGGGGGCCTGCTCCAAGGCCCTGCTTCCCACGCACCCCCAAGAGGGGTGACCCCCAACATCCCCGCCAGGGCCACAAGAACCATCTGGGGGCGACACAGGCAAGCCCAAGCCCCCACTACAGCCGCAGCAAGATCAGTGAGCGGAACTGGGCTCGCCCCCACGTGGGACGGGAACAAACACAGGGGTCCTACAGCCCCTCTGCAAGCAGGCCTGGGGGAGCCTGTGAGCCTGTGACCTTGGTCCCCAAACAACCCAACACCGTGTGAGCAGGCAGGCCTGGGGCTCCAGGCGCGCTGACACAGAAGGGCGAGCCCGCAGAGGCCCAGAAGGAAGGTGGTCTCGGCGGGCACAGCCAGGCAGGGAAGGAGCCAGACTCTGGTTACCCACTCCGAGGGACGCACCCCTCAGCTCTGCGGCCGTGGCCAGCAAGGGTGTGTCCAGGCTCACAGCTTCCCCAGGGGGCTGCCCGGGGCAGAGCCAGCGCCCACCTTAGCCCCCTTCGACCAGGGCGGGCACACTGAAGCAGGAAGCTCTGGTTTAGTGTGGCTGCACCACGTGTGCTGAGGTGCCGGAAGGCAGCAGGTGGCCGAGCTGCACCCGCGGGGCCAACCCGCCGAGGTTCGACCGACACCCTGACCACTGGCCATCTGCAAGGAGTGTCTGTCCTCCTCCAACTCCACCTTTCAGCGACCAGCCACCTCAAAGCGGCCCCTCCCTGCAGGGCTCTGTCGCACCCCACGTCCCGTCATGAACGGCCAGTGACGGGCTGGGGAGACGGCGGCGCTGCTACAGCAGGCCCCGAGCGCGCCCCACGGGCTCCCGGCAGGTGCACCCAGGACGGGGGCACGGATCCCCGGTCCCCCTCAGCACGCAAGTGCATCATCCTAAGCCACGGATGACCAACACAGAAGATGGACGAAGGGCAGCTCTGCAAAGGGGCAGGCAGGACGCTGCATGGCAGATGAGCCAACTCCTTCAGGGAAGCCAGAAGGAAACGCCCCCCAGGAGGGCAGCCACTTCAGGCATGGAGGCCGAGGTGGAGTGGGCCTGGGGGCGGCGGTGGCCAGGGACGGGCCTGGGGGCGGCGGTGGCCGGGGCGTTACAGCAGGGCCGGTTGCCACTGTGCGACACCCCGCAGCATACGTGCCCCTGCCGGCTGCACTTCAGTGACTAAGCTAGGGGCAGGCGTCCAGCCGCGTGCCAGTTCTAAGTCTGGCTTTGAGGAGCAAGCCACACCTCTAAGGCTGTGGCTTCCTGCTAACCGGCCCCCGGGAGGGGACTAGGACGCCCCCCACTCAGCGACGCCCCGCAGACGGAGATGTCTCTCTCACAAACATACAAGGACCGAGGACACGGATGTGGAGTGAGCCTGTCACCACTCTCGGGGGATGCAGGCAGCCCACGACACACCTTGTCGGGTAAAGCCACAGTCCGCAGCATTGCAGCAGGGCACCGGGGCCGCTGGCACCTGCACCTTGCCTGCGGTCCCAATCCATGCTCCTGCAGGGCTGGGCCAGTCAGGGTGCAAGGCGGCGACCCCAACTCCACCAGCCAGCCCACCCCCATGCTGCTTCACAGCACCCTGGGGTGGCTGGCGGTCAAGCACCACCCAACCCAGTGTCGGGGTTGATCTCTGCCCCCGCCCATGTCCTGGTTGTGCCATCAGCAAAGCAAAGCATCCTGTCCCACTCCAGGGCACCCCAATCCCATGTCCCAGTTAACAGCCCTCCACACAGAGGGGCAAGGGAGGAGATGGGGGGGGCGCCTAGCACGGCCCTTAGGGGCCTCACCAGCCAACCTCCTTGTGCCTACAGGCTGGGGGCCTGGGGTCCCAAAGCGGCTGCCCCACCAACAGCTCCGCGTGCAGCCATGTTAACAGGCAGGGCGTCTTGGGCCCTTTGGGAGGCCCTGGACGAGCCATGTCCTACGAAGAGGGTCAGGTGGTCCTCGCTGGACCACTTCCCTTTCCATGTCTGCGTCTCGGCATGCCGTTACAGCAGCCACCGGAACCCAGCCACTCTGGAGGGACACACACGGAGATCCAGCAGACCCCACGGTGGACACCCCTGCCCTCTGTCCAGACCCACTCGAGACACCACGCACCACGCAAAGCAGGGGGAAGGCGCCCTGGGTGAGCAAGGGCTGCCCGCCGAGAAGCCCTTATCGAGATGGCAGGAACACAGAGCATGGCCCCCAAACCAGGCTGGGACGCGGGCTGGTACTCGGTCACCCTGGACAGCAAGGAACTTCACAAGCCCCAGAACACCAGGCCAGGCTCGGAGCCGATGAGACGGCAATGCCTGGGCTGCTCTGCAGGGCCAGACAACCCCGCGGGTGGACTCTGGGGGTGCGGAGGGCCAGGGTGCCGGGGCAGCTCCAGCTTTGACCTTAGGAACCTCCCAGGCTGAGCCTCGGCGGGGCACCAGGGTGAAGGAAGGGCAGGTGGCAGGAGCCCGCGCCCAGGGAGGGCTGAGCTGGGGGCACCCTCTCCTCTCCCCGGGACACGGCGGCACCCTGGCAAGGCGACTTCCAGACAGGAAGGGCGAAGCACCCAGCTACCTGGAAACTGGACGTCTGCCCACCAACTCCCCAGCTGTTAGAGTCAGCAAGAGGCCGAGGACCAATGAGCCACTCCTGGAGCCCCCGACATCGAAGCCGCCCCCCACCTCCGCCCCTCTGGCACTCACCTGTGCGAGGTGCGCATGTCCACGGGCCCGTCGCCTGCTGGCCCGTCACCCCTGCCCACCACGTTGACCTCGGCCACTCTCAGCGGTCCCTGGGCTGGGCCTGCCCCTGCCTCAGGCGTCATTCTCGCCTCTCCGTCGGGGCTCAAGTCCGACAACGCTTCCTCCATTTTTATTTTCTTGTTGTCCACATCGTCCTCCGCAGGGTCCCGGTCAAGCGTGCGTTTCTGACTCCGTGTTCGGCACGCTTCTTCCGTCATTCTGAACTTGAGGAAGAAAAGGACAAGGCCGTGTGACCAGGGAGCCTGCAGAGCCCCGGGACCTTCCGGGCGCGCGTGCGGGCCCCCCACGGCACTCCCAGGACATCACCCCCTGCCCTGGGGAAGGGGAGCTGCGGGGAGGGGAGGCCCTGACCGGCAGCAAAGGAATCCTACGCACTCGGACCTGTGCGGGCCGGACGCAGGGCCCCGCCTGGGGCATCCCAAGCCCCTGCCCTGGATGCTGGGGTGTCTGGAATCCAGGAAGGGAGCGAACGCGCCAACCCACGAGCCAGGCTGGGATGACACCCTGGGTCGTCCCTTCCCTCCAAGTGGGGGGTGTCCCCCCACAGCCTGCTCACCTCCAGGGAGTGGGCAGTGGGGGCCACGCCTAACCCCTTGGGGCCGAGCCAGGCACCCTCAGAGCAGGCTGATGCCTGGCCTGCCAGCGTGCCACCGCCCAGTACCTGAGGCACACACATATCTTGATTTAAAGAAGAAAGAAGGAGGGAAAAAAAACCGCTGAGTCAGTTTTTGATCCCCTGACATCATGGGCGCCACATGACCCTTCCCAGGATGCAGTCGGAGAGACAAAGCACTTTCCAGAAAACCAGTCTGAACCGGTTCCAGACAACGAGCTCAAGTGTTGTTAACCCTCAGAGAGGCAGGACAGCGCGGCACGTCTGTCGGCGGGAGGCGGCTGGCATGCCACAGCAGGGTCTGGGACCCGGCACTCTTAAAGGGGCCGGCCATGCCGAGATCCCTGTGCCCACCTCGACGTCCCGACGGGGTGGGAAAGATCGAGAAGTGCCCCGGAGCGACTGGGGCAGAAACCTGGGCCTCCACCGCCAGCGCCCACGCCAGCCCGCACTCTGGCCCGTCTGCAGGCAGGGCACCCAGTCGCTGGCCAGCAACTCCCTGGGGCAGCCAGGCAAACCAAGCACAGGCCGCCTTCAAGGGAGCAAGGAGTCTCCTCTGCCTTACCGCTTGGGGGGCGCAGTGGGAACTGCCTCCAGGGCCAGCCCCTTTCAGAAGAGCCAGAGCCAAGGGCCTGCGCTGGCCTGGGCACCCCAGCATGCGCTCAAGTTGAGCACCACGCAGGGTGGCTCCTAACGCAGCCAGGCCCCCACAGCGGGATGATGCTGAGCGCTGCCCAGCATCCCTGCCCGGCCAGCTCAGTGCCTGTCCCGTCTGGGGGACCTCGGGCAGCTCAGTGCCTGTCCCGTCTGGGGGACCTCGGGCAGGTCGCCGTCTTTGCGGACCACTCCCCAGGGGAGCAGCACGGTCCCTGCCTTGAGACGCACAGGAGGGGTCCCAGGAACCAGGGGTAGCAGCCCCAGGACAGCTCCACGCCTGGCCAACCGCAGCATCACAGGTGCACGGGGAAGAGACACGTGGCCCGCACACGTACACTCGCCCCACCAGCACGTCCCGTACCCCACTGTCTGCTCCAGCCAGGCGGGACCCCGCTCCCAGGCTCGGCCCGTCCTTGGAAGACCGGTCTGTTTCAGGAGGCTCACAGGAAGTCTGCTCCACCACCCCCAGGACACCCCGGCCCATCCCAAGGACCCACTCGGCCGCAGCCCAGGGCGTCTGCCACCAGCCGCTGTGGTGCTGGTGTCAAGGCAGCCCAGCCCTGGGCCCAAGTGAGGGTGCCTCCGCGAGCAGTGGGGAGGTGGGGGGGACCCAGAGAGCGGGGACCTGCTGCGCCCCGCCCCCACCTCTGGAAGGACAAGCACAGCTGGAGGGGCGGAGCCGGCCCCGGGCGGGGCGCTGACCAGCCCTGCAGCCAGCCCAGGGCTATGCTCCTGGGCAGCTGGGACACTGCAAGCCTCCCGACCCAGGGAAGGGGTGATGACTGCCAGCACCCAGGCCCCAACACCACACCATCTCGGGGTGCCAGCAGCAAGCCTGACAGTGCTGTGCCCACTGCAAAGGTGCAGCCGGGAAGCCACCAAGGCCACCCTGCAGCCTAAGGCCCCTCCCTCTCTCTCCCCTTACACGAGGGGTGGGGGGAGGCAACCCCTGCAGGACCTGTGGGACCAGGGCTTTGGGCCACATGCAAACCCCAGGGCCCTCGACCCCCTTAACAATGCCCTATTTTGATAAAATGCCATCATCCAGCTGGGGGTAGGATCCGAGGCAGGAAGCCCCATGGGCAGCCAGCCCTCCATCTGTGGGGTCACCGGGCACACACCCACCCACACCCTCCACGTGGCAGCGGGCAACAGGGCCAGATGTTGGGGGAGCGAGAGAGCGAGCGGGCTGCCACTCTGCCTTGGTCTGTCACTGGCTTTTCCGGGTCAGGAAGGGGAGGCTGGGCAGAGGGAGGAGGGGCAGCGTGCCCGTGCCAAGCACCGGGAGGGACCTGTTCCTGTCGGAAGGAGGCCGAGGCGGCGGCTGGCGCCCAGTGTCACACGCGGGAACCCAGGCTCGGGGCCGGCGGGGTGGCTGGGCCACCCTCACCTCCTGGCCAGGCTCAGGACCCTGTCACCCTGCCCCCACACAAAGCCCACTCCTTAAACACACCCCTCCGGGGACTGCATCTTTAAAGGGGGAGGGAGGGCAGACGGGGAACACCCGTCAACAGAGCCCCGACCAGGGCTACAGCAAGCGGCTCCACACACCCAGGCCTGCTCCCCTGGGTGCCTCGTGGAGTGCGCACTGGCAGGAGGCTGGCGTCAGGAGCCAGGGCGAGCACCATGCCAGGCCACGTGGGGCAGCCCCCATGACAGGCACCCATCTCGCTCTGTCACTTCCTGAGGCACGGCTGAGCAGGGCACTCCGGAAGGCACCGCCCCTGACACGCACACACTCACGTCAGCTCTCCAAAGCCTGTGACGGCCAAGGACAAAGGACACAGTGAACTTGGCCCAGGCCACCGCACAGCCTGCAACAGCCCACCACCACGCGGCCCAGTGTCTCGGCCTCATTTCCCTACCGGGACCCCACCTCACACACACACCACATGACACAGCAAGACCCCACCTCAGACACGCCACGTGACATGACGCCAAGGGAGCACCTCAGAGACACGCCATGTGACAGAGGGAGCACCTCAGAGACACACTATGTGACACAGAGGGAGCACCTCACAGACACACCATGTGACACGGAGGGAGCACCTCAGACACCATGTGACACGGAGGGAGCACCTCAGACACCATGTGACACGGAGGGAGCACCTCACAGACACACCATGTGACACAGAGGGAGCACCTCACAGACACCTCGTGACACAGAGGGAGCACCTCACAGACACCATGTGACACAGAGGGAGCACCTCACAGACACCATGTGACACAGAGGGAGCACCTCAGACACCATGTGACACAGAGGGAGCACCTCACAGACACCATGTGACACAGAGGGAGCACCTCAGACACCATGTGACACAGAGGGAGCACCTCACAGACACCGGCTCAACGCCGGACCCTTCTAGAAGTCCATGTGCATCTGTGCGGAGGCAGCAGCCCGGCTCGGGCACGCTCCTGGGGCTGAGCCAAGGGGCAAAGGTGAGCACGCGCATGAGACGCCTTGCTCAGAGTTCCTGCAGGTGGACGGCGTGGCCCTCCTACAGCGAGGCCAAGAGGCAGGGGGGCCAGAGGTCACACGGCAGGCAAGGCAGCAGCCCGGTCGAGGTGCAGCTGCCGGGGTGGGCACCTTCCTCCTCCACATGTTCAGGTCAGGAAGACTCGGGGCACAGTCACTCTCCCTGTGGGGACCAGCTGACAGGTGGGCAGGCGCCCTTGCTGCCCACACCCACCAAGGATGACGGCAGAGGCGCACATCCCCCACAAGGTACAGTGAATCCAGGCTCAGGGCTGGACCCTGCAGGAGCCCTCCCTGAGCCCACGGACGGGACAACGTGATGGGTGCCCGTGCGAGGACACAGTAGCCCCCCTCAGGCCTAAGTCAGGGCAGCCACGCTGTGCCCTGCCTGCACTGTGGGAACCTCAGGGAGGCTAGGTCAGGCCCCCCTGCCACTGCTCCCGGTATGCCTGGCGCAAGCAGGTGCAGTGGGGACGGGAGCATAGCCCTGGCCCATGCCTCCTGATGCTGGAAGAGGCTAAACAGCTGCCACACAGCGGCGTCTCCCTGGCACCCTGGGAGGGGCAGCCTTCCTCAGCCCATGATCCAGGTGGGAAAGCTCGGACCCCACAGGGACAGGCAGGCAACTCGCTGCTGGCCACGGTCCCCCATCAGCCTTAGCCGGAGGTTTCAGCAAGGCCTGGAGCCCTGCACCGACCCCACCTCACCAGTCCCGGCTAAGACACAGCCTGCGGGGGTCTCAGCTAGGGTCCCCAGGGATGACACCGCCCGTGTCTGTCCTCAACCCCCAGGACTTCCCGGGGCACAGCACGGAGGGAGTGACGCTGGACAACACACAGTGATGGGAGACAGGGCTGGGGCCCAGGACTCTGACGCTTCCTCTGCGACACGGGACAGCAGCACCCTGACAGACATGCACGCACACCTGACAACCCAAGGGCACCCGACCCTCAGCCCTCAGCTAGGGGGGCTCGCTGACAGGCGGTGGCTGTCTGAGCCCAGAGAGAGAGGGGTGCAGACAGAAAGGGCAGGGGGCTTGTTGCCAACCTGAGGTGTGGGTACCTAGATGCTGGGAACTGAGCAGTATGGAAGAGTGGGGCAGCAGACAGAAAGCTCTCCCATCTGCTGGTTCACTCATCATGTGGCTGCAACAAACGGTGCTGAGCCAACCTGAAGCCAGGAGCCAAGAGCCTCTTCCGGGTCTCCCATGTGGTGCAGGGTCCCGAGGCTGTGGGCCGTCCTCCACTGCTTTCCCAGGCCACAGGCAGGGAGCTGGGTGGGAAGCGGGGCAGCCAGGACAGGAAGTGGCCCCTACAAGGTGAGGATTCAGCCATGGTAGCCACAGCACTGGGACCACAGCCTTGCCTCAAGGGACAGGCAATGACTATTTCCAGTCTGTGGGTCACTTGGGTCTGACACGACCACTCGGTCCACGTGATCTGCCAGGGTGGACTCCA